GTTGAACATATAATTTTTTACGTGATGGTGTTGCACCAGTGGCAGAAGTTTGTGTTATAATAGCCGTATTGAACGCAAAATCTTCTTTTAAACTATTAAGAAATACGTAAAAATTTGGATGATGAACGTGATAAAGCAAAGAATTTAGTCTGCAATGCCATCCCTCGACGTTATTGTTAGTACGATGACTTAAGAAATCAAAATAATTCCACAATGAATAATCAAACATTGCATTATCATCTACCCATGTGTTGTAAAATAATCAAAAAATGGTTCACTATTTTAAATATATTGAAAATCATCCATAATTTGCACCCATAAATTTGGAATCTGATTTGGTGGCATAAAAGCAAGTGCAGCTGTTTTCTTATATAAATTTCGAACATTTATATCATTAATATCTATAGATTCAGCATTAATAAAAGCAGCATACTGGAATCTTTCGTACATATCACTTAATTAGTATGAATAAATCAAGAATTTGAATAAATCAATTAAGAAAAAAGTAGGCGAAACGAGAATTATAGATTTCTATATTTTTAGAAAAGTCGGCAAAACGAGAATATTTTTAATGAGTCGGCGAAACGAGAACGAATCCATCCGATACCAAGTTTGTTCAACTCACTAGAAATATCTAAACTCACTAGAGTATACATCATTCAAAGAAAAACAACTTTCAGGCTATTTTTATTAATTGTTACGATTCATGTTTAAATCTTCGCATGACATTTGAGCGTTCGGAGAACCGGTCAATCGATACTTAATTGATCTCTTATTTTATCATCACCACAAGCCTGCGGACACATTCAGTTTGTACTCAGGTGTAATAATCAAATCATATAAATCTTAAATAATATTAATTCCTTGAAAATTGCTATTGACAACCATTTTTGTTGTGTCGAAACAAGGCTTAGAATCTAATAATTCTAATCAAAATTGATCTTTAACATAAAAATGAGATTTCTACGGGTCTCTAAACTCAAGAGAGCACAACTATTTTTTAAGAAATATGAATTGCATAAGGACGCTTGTTATTGCTGAAATTCTTGATTTACAACTTTATCAACAGAAGTTCATGCTGGAGGGATGACAGCAAGTGGAAGTCATCTAGTTTATATTTAAAACTTCGCATATTTAAACGAAAGTAGAAAATTAAATTCAAACTTCAGAATAGGACCAGTTCGTTTTTTATACAACAACACTAACGAGATTGCAAGCGCGAACTTTGTCTCCCTCTGTATGACCAAGTTGAAGATCAAGAATAAACCAGATTATGTTCACTATTAGTATTGATATCTCGAACTCCGTCCTAATTAATATACTAAGTACAAGGGGAGGTACTCATTATGATACTTGTGTATGTTAAGAAAGTCGACTGGCTGCTTGTTGGCGAAAATAATTTTATTATTTTCCAAGAATAAATAGTGTTTACATAGTACATCATGCAAACAAAACGGTGATTGAAACATGCATAAGTACTATAGTGGAACTCTTTCAGTAGTTAGATACCCAATCAATCTGTTTAGGAACTTGGTCGGTATCTTTAGAGACTTATTCAATTCAGGTATCGTGAATTCAATATATTCATTCAGCAGAGCATTTACTTCACCATTAACCTGAGGGGGAAACATTTTGAAAAATTTTGTATGTGAACTGCTTGTTTTTTTTTACACGCTAATCTGTTTGGATATCACTACTGACATAAATTATATTATCAGGCAGCGCATAACTGATAATTGAAAATATGAGTTGATGGGAACGACTTCTTTGGTTTTTAACACCTTTATTAAGAGTATGAAGAAACTTTATTCTGAGAAAACTTAAAAAATTGTGAATGCTTTGTGCACAACAGTGATAAAAGTCTTTGAGAATGCGTGTTGTGTTTATTCTGTCGTTTACGTCGCTTCTTTCCCTTGTTACTCAGTGCTGATAATCTCAACAGCGACGTGTCCGTAATCTGTTTCGCAATTGATGATGATGATGGAGACTGTTCGATGGGAATTGTTTGAGATTGAGATATGTGTGTTGATTTTTTATTTTTCAGGACAATGCTTAGAACAAAAATGAGGATGATGCCACCTATAGTTGTTAAACCGATTGCCCAATATTTAAAACGCCTCCAAAGTAAATCTCGTTCTTTATTTTTCCGATAATTTGATATTCCGAATCTTAAATTGACATTTTTATTTAATAATTCTTCACTACGATAATTTAATTCTTGTAATTGTTCACCTCTGATTGTCGTGTGTTCAAGAGCTTTTTTCAACGATTCATCTGTATCATCGGCAATCTGGTTCATTTCTTTGAATTGACGTTCGGTTTCAACACCAGCATTCTTGTGAGATAATAGAAAGAGATCTGGAGAAGATTCATGATTTAAAGTATTGTTGTGCTGCTGTTTTTCTGTAGTAATAATTGCTATAGGCTGTTTTACCAGTAGGATTGCTGTTTGGATGTTATCTTGCGAGACGGATTTGAAACAAGGCGCTGATGCTGTTTTTTTCAATGCTATTTTGTTCCATATTTTCCGACTCAAGCTTTTGTTTGAGCTTGATTTTGAACTTTTACTATATCGTCTTAACAGTGATGTATGACTCATCTTTTTCATGACGGTATCCAGCGAATTGATTGATTGTGGAAAAAGTACAAAAAAGACTTTTGCTTTGAAAATAGAAACTAATTAATTCTTTATACCTAAAGTATATTTTTGATTGTTTAAAAAGAAACAATGGATGCCTAATTTTTTCGGTTGGGTAAATTTTTGTTATTCCAATCATTGATTAACCTAGATTTTTTTGAAAATAAATTATAAATTGCGCTTTTTCAATTAGTAACAACGACAGTTAGCTGTAAACAGATTTGTAAAATCAAATATAGGATCGTACAGAAAATAATGGATTTATTGAGTCATTTTTGAATTATTACAAAACACACTGAATGTCGGAAATTGCTGTTGGATTTATAAGACTAAACAAATTCATTTTAATTTTTTGAATTTGTACATGCCGTTTTAGTAACTCCAATTTAAAACAAAATATTAAAAAGATATCTAGAAAAAACTAAAATACAATAATTTCAAGTATTAAATGTCTATATTATAATCTTTATACATTTCTTATTTTTTTTGGCGGTGTTTTCACTGACCCTTGATATCGCAGCGCATTTTGAGATCGACGCGGTCTCAAACAAAAACACAGCGTATCAAAAATAGCTATACGAAAACTTCTGCTACTATAAACATATAATATTGGATTTAGTAAAGAATTAATATAACCCATCCAAAAAATAACACTGACAATTTCTGGTGGAAATTTATATGGAAAAAATACCATGTATGGGTAAGAGATTAAATAAGGTACCCAACAAACCAAGAACACTACCAAAAGTATACCTAAAAGACAATAAATATTACATTACATGTATAATACAATAAATATATTATATATATTCTAAGAACTTACCTAACATTCTACTTGCTTTTTGATTACGTCTAAGACGTGCTTTTTGTCTTTCAGTCATAAAATTTGCTATTGCTCGGGAGCTATACCGACTAGAATTAAATGATGTTGACGGTCTCGATGGTATGCGTTGAGCAACACAATTTCGTCTTAAACGTCCATGTTCTTTATCGTCAATCGAACTTGAATGTTCACTATAGTCAGATGAATGAGAATGTGAATGAGACTGTTCTGAACGTGAAGTAGCTGATCCGACATATTCATGGTCGGTAGTAGCTGTTACGGTCATGTGTCGTCGAGAACGTAGTGGTGGATGTTTTTGACAATAACACAAGCAATCTGGTAATGGTAGACTAGATGTTCGACTATTTATCCTTGAATGATATGAATCTGTGTGACTATGACCATTAACACATATCATTCCATTACCACGATCATCATCTGCTTTTAGTTCACTAACGTTAGACTGATACAAAGTTCGTGTATTACCCGTAAATTTTGCTTGTGTACTAGCACCATTTGATGACTTTCGACGTTGTTTAATTACCGTTGTTGTCAAACTATTACTACATCGTCTTGTATTATTCTCATTATGAATTGCTTTTATCATTATTAATGATGTTGCTGGTGTTATTTGAGTATTGGTGTGATTTGGAGATGATAGAGTTTGCTCGACTGTTGTGGCACGCCTAACATTTGACATTCGTGTTTTATCGCTATTTTTTAGTTTATGTCTGTTTTTCGCTCCCATATGATATCGATATGAGGTAAATCCACGAACAATAAATGGTATTTGTTCCGAATTATTACTCGTGTTATTCTTATTATGCGCGTGGTCTTGTATATTCAATATTCCTCGTCTTTCACTACGTGAACGTATAGAAGATGTTAATAAGCTATGAATAGAGGATCTTGGTGGAGATATCGATTTATTATGTCCATTTTTTACAGTTGAGCTCATATTCCACGTTTCTATTATGCTACGACCGCGATGTCGTTTTGTGTCATTATTCGATGGTGTAGCAGTGAGTGATGTACCACCATCAGGATTAAATTTGATCGTACCCCATGCACCTTTAATCATGATTTCAATACATTTGATATTGACAATAATTCTACTGTAACAAACTAACATGAATATAAGTGGTATATAATAGAAAAATGTGCACAATATTAAGATGATGAATGCTGGTGCTGGATGAGCACATTCTCGTTTATCACTAAATCGTTGACTAACAAATACTGAAAATGGCCAAACACCAAGTGGTACAAGCCATGATAAAAATATAAATATCAAAACGGTTGAACGTGAACGATTGCGTAAATGATTATACGGTCGACCTAATGCCCAATATCTGTCTAAAGCCATTGATGCTAATGTTAAAAAGCTTGCTGTTGAACACGTAAAATCAACAGACATCCATATATGACAAAAACGATAGTCAAATGGCCATTTATTATGCATTGAAAATACAGTCATCCATGGCATGACCATGATACCCACAAAGAAGTCAGCCAAACATAGACTAACGATAAAATAATCACTGTAACTGCGGGTGTGTAATCGAACTTTAACACTAATTAATACGAGTCCATTTCCTAAATAGGTAAAACAGATACTTTTTCCTTCTCATTTTATACAATGAATTTGTAAACATACCTAATATTGTCAATATTGTTATCAAAGCGCAAACAGTTAATATTGTTACAGTTTTAATCGACAAAATCAGCTGAAAACTATCATTGGCTGTTGTATTGTGAATCATTCGTTTAAATTAACAGTGTTTCCATTTAAACATTCCTTAAAAATGAACAACAATTTATATTTAGCTTGATAATTTTACATAAAATAAATGTTTGTCTAACGAGAGAACGTTCTTAAGTGCCCCCTCGCTTTTTCAACGAAACCTAGTGGGTTATAGGTTATTGATGATGCTGATTCCGAATATGAATATGAGAGCTGCTCTTAGGACTTCGGAGAAACCAGTTTTTCAGAAACTCTGAAAAACAACCAAAGCTTTTCTTAATAAGCCATGTTTGTAGCCCGCACATTTCTGATTAAAATGAGGCATCTTCCAACTCTACACAGCCTTTCTTTGCAAAGTTATAGAATTTACAAGAAAAGCCCTAAATATTTATTATCATCAACTAAGCTACAGAAATAAGAAAT